GGTCCCTGATGCCTTGCCAAGCTTGTTCTAAGTAGGTGCTTTAGACCACTGAGCCATCTCTCCAGCCCTATGTATTTATTTTTGGGACAGGGTCTTGCTGTGTAGTGCAGGCTGGCCTTGAATTCCTGTCTCTGATTCTCAAGGGCTGAGATTATAGATGTGTACTACCACAGCCCAGACTCGATTTCATCTATTTTTTATTTGTTTTCAAAAAATATTTATTTATTTATTCAGTACAGGATCTTGGACTCATAGTGATTCTCTTGTCTCAGACTCCTCAGTGCTGGGATTATAGTTGTGCACCAATACGCCCAGTTATGGTGGCTGGCATGGTGTGCCTGGGGTTCCGAGGCTGGCATAGCATGCAGTACAAGGGATTGAACCCAGGTCCTTCCACTTGCCAGGCAGGTGCTTAGACAGCTGAGCTATCTTCCCAGCCCCAGAGTTGATTTGAAAGTAAAATAATTTTAAGCATTCTGGAACCAATCCTACTTCTATTCTGATTCCTATGGGACTTTTTTTCTCCCTGAGCCCCTCTTGGTTTTGGAGCTCTGGACAGAGCCACAGAGGTTGGGGGTCCCATAGCTCAAGACTTGGGGAATAGCTCTTCTGGGCTGAGTATGACATGGGAGGAGATGGTGAGGTGGGCCAGGTGTGGGTGAGCAGCACCAATGCTATAAAATGGGAAACAAAGTGGGTCTGTGACAGGATTTTCCCATTTGGATGTCGGGGTTCATCAGAGCCTGTATTTACCTTTTTGGATGCTGGAATAGACCAGCGCTCTTCTTTTTCTTTTTATCTCATCTATTGCTTCTGATAAGGGTAAGGATGAACTTTTCAAAAATCTCAGAATTTTATAAGCATTTAACATATCCAGTTGTGACGCTAAAGTGGTTTCCAGCTGTTGATTAAGATGAGTACCTCATACCACACAGTGGTGGCAGCTGGTTGCTCTAATCCAGTTGTTAAATATATTTTGCAGCTGTATTTTCTTCTAGTCTGTTCTGAGAGTCTGCTATCTGGTGGGCTACATTGTACTTATTTCTAATCAGATTAGCGGGTTGCAGGATTATCAGGTGTACACTGTCCTTGACTGTGAGATGGACTGTCTGCTATCCTGGGTGGGCAAAAGATGCTGATGACTTCTAGGGCCAGGACCTTTGTGGAGCCAGAGACACTGCAGGAGTGGAGGCTGGTTGAGCTGAGGAATGGAGGCCACAAGGAGAGTGAAAACCGAGAGCAAGTTGGTGATAGAGATGACACAGGAAGGAGCCTGGGCCCCCGGCCAGGCTGCCTGTCTGCTGGCATTAAAACTAGGGAGGCTGGGTTTCTTAACTTCGGTCTGGGCCAGAAAACGGGCAATGAGTGGGTTGCAGTGGTGTATGCCTGTAACCTCAGCACTCAGAAGGCTGAGGTGGACAGACCTTTGTGAGTTCAAGGCCAGCCTGGGTTACATAGCGAGACCGTGTCTCAAAGCCAAGACAAAACACAGAAAAGCACAGTGGACTTCATGTTTTCCATTGCTTTGCAAACCCTGTGTGTGTTCTCCCCCAGAAGGTGATGTGTACAAAGCCCAGACTCCTGCCAAGGATGTCCAAGGGGCTCTGGATGTCAAGGAGGATGCAGACGTGAAGGTGGAGGTGCCAGTGGACCAGGTGGGTTGCAGAACCCTGGATGACTGTGTCCCATAGACCCTGCCTACCTTAGTCTCCTTATCCCTGTTCTGAGTTCTGTCTGGCCTCAGGAACCTCCTAGGCTCTCCAGGTTAAGGCACTTCCCCTCTTTCCCAGACATGCTTCTCTGTGGGATGTTTTGCCCCCCAGTCCCATGCATGTACTGCATATTGAGCATCACATTAATCGTTTATCGCCTCAGCTGCCTGTCTGCTGAGCTATGAATCCTGAGGGGGTGCAGCCCCCATCTTGAAGGGCCCTGGTGCACAGGACACCCTGCCTGGTACATGTGGGTGAATGCCAGCTGGGGCGAGTGGCACCATCAAATGGTGTGCGTGTGGAATGTGGGACCCAGCATCCCCACTTGCAGGTGGGGGCATCATTTAGAGGAGGGGACATGCTCGGGCACCATCCCACCCTCAGGCTTTGCAGAAGAGGGGGAATAGATAAACCCTGAACCCACACAACCTGGTCTCCACTGTCCACCCAAAGGCACTAAAAGTAGATTTGCAGTTGTTAGTTTTGGAGGAGGTGAATGTCCCACAAAAGGTCAATATTAGCATTGGAGTCTTAGTTTAATCCTCTCAAATAGATGAGGTCCCAACCTTGCTCTTGTGTTTATTCAGCGTGGAATCAGGGCAGCCAGCGAGTTTTTCTTCTACACCTTTATTTTTTCTACTCCTCCTTTATTTTTAACTCCTGTTATTTGTCTGTTTTGTGATGTATTTTTACAACCCTGCAGTTTGTGCAGTCATTTAAGCCAGCTTCCTGCTTCCGAAGCCATTTGGAGTCCTTTGCGTGCATGTCGCGCTGTGTTTTCTAAATCACCAGCAATGTCATTTGCTCTGTTCCTGGATGTGATAAAAGAATGATCAAAAGATGTGATTTTCTGTTGAAACACAAAATAACAGTTGGGATGTTTTAGTGCACATTGAAGGTTAGAGGAATGAGGAAACGAGGACATGTTAGGCAGGGTACTTTTACACCACATTGGACCTTGTAGCTGGTGTATTCATGCATATTTTCTGGTTCTATACTGAAAGAGTGCAAAACAGGCTTTATTTGACACTTCAGTTTTCTGTGGTGTTAGGGGTGGAGCCCAGGCCTCCATGCACGCCAGGCAGGTGCCTGTGAGCCACTCCCCAGTCCTGGGCTCAGATTGACTTATTTATTTTTTGTGATACACGGTCTCACTGTTTTTATTTATTTATTTATTTATTTATTTATTTATTTATTTGTGTGTGTCCAGCTCAGCCCACCAGGAGGCGGGGCTGGCTGGCATGTGGTGCTGGGAGATTGAACCGCGGTCCCTGGGGCTTTGCTAAGCTTGTTCTAAGTAGGTGCTTTAGACCACTGAGCCATCTCTCCAGCCCAGGTCTCACTGTTTGGACTTGTAGTGATTGTCTTGTCTTAGACTCCCCAGCCCTGGGATTATAGGCATGTACCACCATTCCTAGTTTCAGGATAGGCACAGCATAAAGCACTGGGGATTGAGCTCAGGACCTTGTGCTTGCAAGGCGGGCGCTTATGCCATCGAGCAGTCTCTCCAACCTTGACTCATTTTATCTTTAATTTTAATTTTTATTTTTTTAGTCTGTATTTGAAGTACATCATGATTGTATTCCTTCCAGGAGTTGGAGTGTGCGCCTGCCTCTTCTCAGTCCTTCTTTCTATCCACTTCTGCTCTCTTCCCTGCCCCTTCCCTCCATCTCTTGTTCCTCTTCCCTTTTGAAACTCTCTTTCTCTCTCTCTGTTATGTGTGACCTATTTTTTGTCTTGCCCCTTCCTTACGTAAGCTTTGTGTTTCTCATCTAAGAGAAGCAATGCCGTATTGGAGTTTGTGTGTCTGGCCTTTTCATTTAACGTTACAGTCTCAAGGTGCATTTCCTCCAGATGACTCATGTTTATCTTTTGGGAACAGTGGTGCCCTGTGCTGCGCAAACACCACATTCTCTTCATCTATTCGTCCGTGGATGGGCATAGAGGCTGCTTCCAAAGTTTAGCTGGGATGAATCACGCTGCTGTAAACGCACGTGTGCATGATCTCGTTAACGTCTCGAGCGGGAATAGCTGCTCAGAGGAGTTTGGCACAAGCCAACTATCGCTGCATAGGAAACATGTGTGTTTTCCTCCTAGGTTCCAGCTGAAATGGTTAAAGAAGCTGACGAGGCACATGACAGCATCCCTAATTTGGAAGGCATCAAGGTGAGCTCGTTGTATCTTGTCTCTGTGATCTGGATCTCAGTGCTTGCTCTTTGTCATCGGTGAGCAGAGCATATGGTGGGTGGCAAAGGACATGGCGCCGCAGATTGGTCCTGACCTCGGACGAGGATCCCTGGCCTGTGTCTCTGGTCACTGTGCTTCAGCTCTGGTGTCCTGTGTGCTGGCAGTCATGGTGTCATTTTAGTGGCTTTTACGCTTAGTTGCCTCTTCCTCTGCTCCCCCAGGGTGAGTCGGGGAGGTGGAGCATGGTGGTGGCTGTGGGACAGCTCTGTCTGCCTCTGCTGATGTTTTCTGGTGAGAGACCACTGTGTCACTGGCCTTGTAGGGACACTGGGCTGGGGGCCCAGGGCTCTGACCACCCTTGCTCCCACAGAGCAGGCGTTGGGACCATCTGCCCCATGCAGATGACATTATTGTACTTCTGCCAGAAATGAAGGGAAATACAGTTTACTATATAGCTGTGGAGCCAAGAAATGGGCTTTGGGGCTGTTTCCCGATGTCTATTGCTCCTCGCGATGTCTCTGGGGCTATTTCTCCTTTCTTGCGTTTGGGGTGTGGAGGTCTGAGACTGTGGTGGCAGGCCCTCCCCATCTGTCTCTGAACTCCTAGCGTCGCGCCACATCTCAGCACCACAGCCTTAATCCTGCCATCACGCACACTATGTCCAGCCAGTATTTGGCATGTTCATAATATTTTTACCTTCCAAAAGAAATGTTATGAATCTGAATTAACTAATTTTTAACTTCTGTGAACCAGTAAAGGTGAATGATGTACTTTGTCCTTCTATTTGAAATTGTGTTCACTGAACACTTATTTTATTTATTTATTTTTTTGTATTTTAGGGACGGGTCTACAGGGTATTTAGGATTTCACTACTAGATCGGACCATAGTGATCCGCCTGTTTACAGCCTCCCAAAAGCTGGGATTACAGGCATGTACCACCGCATCCAGTCTTAATTGCTGTGTCAGTGCACTCCAGGGGTGGGGCCGGCACGGCAGGCCTGGGGATCAAATCCCCAGCTCCTGCACCTGCTTGCAGATGCTTTAATCCACTGAGCTCATTGGCCGGCTCCAGTATTTTATTTTAGTTTTGGTTTTCTGAGACAAGACCTCACTATGTAGTACAGGTGGGGCTTGAACTCACCATGTGTAACCTAGGCTAATCCGAAACTCATAGTGAGCCTTTTGTCTCAGCTTCCTGGGTGCTGGGATTACAGGGGTGGCCAACATCCCCAGATAAACAATATTTTATTTTTAAGCATTGTTATAATTACATTGTTGTCAAGTACATTCTGAGTCAGGGTTGTCAGGAATGTTCCTTATTGCTTGCTCTGTCTGGATGCACTATAATAAAAAAA